GGGGGGGGGTCTTACGCGCATGCGCGTTCGGTGTCGGGGCTGCGCCCCCCGGTGGGTGTGGGTAGGGACGGGGTTCGGTGTCGGTACCGGGATCGGTGTCGATGTGATCTGGGCAGGGGTTCGCTGCCGGTGTCGGTGACAATAATGTGCGGGCAGGGGTCCAGTGCCGCTGTCGGTGTAGGTGACAACAATGTGCGGGCAGGGGTTCGGTGGCGGTGTCGGTGACAACAATGTATGGGCAGGGGTCCGGTGGCGGTATCAGTGTCAGTATGGTATAGGCACATCCAGTGAGAGTGTCGGTGTCGATACGGTCCGGGGTCCGGTGCCGGTGTCGGTATCGGTGTCAGAACGCTACGGGCAGGGGACCTGGACCGGGACCGGGGCCGGGGCCGGTGTGTTCCAGGGTCCCCTGCGGGTACCGGCCCGCGATGCCACTCAAGCCCTCCGCCCGTCCGTGCTGTGGTGGTCCCCAATCTCCTCAGGCGCGGGGGGCGGCCCAGCTCCCCTCTACCGGCACACGGTACCGGCTGCAGGTCACAGACGGACAAGGCAGCAGGATCCTCATCATCCCTAAGGGCAGCGCCTCCCTCGCCGTCCCCTCAGGGCTGCAGGACCTTCACGCTGTCCCCCAGGGCAGTGGGACCTTCACCAACCCAAAGGCAATGAGCCAGATCTTCTCCATCCCCTTCTCCATCCCCTTCTCCATCCCCTCGCCACTCTCCCAGGACAGCGAGAGCATCACCATCCCCCAAGGGCAGTGGGACCCTGAGCGTTCCCCCAGGCCAGCAGGATCCTCGCTGTCTCCGGGGGCAGTGGGACCTTCAGTGGGTCCCTCGCCAGTCCCCAGGGCACAGAACCCTCGCCGTCCCCTCAGCCGAGGGTGCAGGATCAGGGCTCCGGGCCGGGGGGCCAGAAGAGCGGAGGACTTCTCATCATGGGGGTCCCATCATCGTCAAGGCCGGCCATCACTCACCCAACTCCAGCTTTGACTGAGAACMGTGACGTCAGAGCCAGAGCCGTGAYGTCATCCATTGGCCACGCCGCTGCCGGCAACGTCATCAGGCACCATGCGACCGCTCCGCGTGATGTCATATGTTTGTTTAATTATGTCACACGCCTGTCCCGCCCCACCCCGGTCAGCGGGAGGAGGCGGGGGTTCATTCGGGTTGCTGCAGAGCCAGATGTTCGGGAGAAGATCCAGATGTTCCTGGGACGCCACCCCTGCAGAAGGGCCAGGGTGGCAAAAGCACGGAGTAACCCGGTGGGCTGGAAGGGGTTTCGGGGGCCGGCTCTGTACCCCCTCATTCCCCCACAGCCCCCAAACGTCGCACACGGCCCGGGAGCGGACGCGATTCTGATTCCTCCCACGCGTGGGTCCCAGCCAGCGCTCCACAGCTCCCTTCCCACTCGGTACCGTCCTGGACGGGGCTGTGGGGAGGCTTAGCGGGGCCGGCAAACCCCTTCCCAATCCCAAACCGCCCCGGCGGTTGTCCGATCTCCCGGGATGTCCCGGTGCTTCGTGGGGGAGCCGCCTTCACGGGGCTCCCGGGTGAGTTTGATGCTCAAAATGGAAGCACGGASACTTCACTGGCGCCACGGCGGGAGGACCGGAGGGGAACGCAGAAACGCGCCCTCGGGGTTTCAAACGCCGGGCTTCGGTGGTGGGCCTGCCCCAGCTCCGATACCAAATCCCGGCAGCACCGGCCCCGCATCCCCCGGTTCGCCCCGGTGGCACCGGCGGTGCGGCAGCGGCCCCTGGTGGCTGCGAGGTGGCTCTGCCCGGTGCGGCCCCTCCGCTCCGGTGGACGCGGGGGTCGGGGCGGYTTTAGGAGCGCCCCGGGACAGGGAGGATACCCCCATGCAGCAGCAAACTCCACCAAGCAACGAGCACCCATTTTCAGTGGCCCCGCTGCTGTCCTCGGGTCGGTACCGGGGGGCGCAGGCAGAGGCGGGCACAGCCCGACACCAACCGCGGGCTCGGAGCCCAGGACGGGAACCGGGGCTCAAACCGTGGGGTGCGGGTGCTGCTCGGGACCAACGGCCCGGCTCGGTGCACCCGGGAACGGTGGGGCCACGGAACCGGGGCTGCGGGGATGGGCGGGTGGCACCCATGGGACGGGCKGGGGGCTTGGAAGGGCAGCAAGGAGGGTCCTGGTTAGAGCAGGAGTAGGGTCAGGGGTGGGTGTCAGAGAGGGACACGCGTGGTTGGGGGCTGAATGGGGCAGATATGGGGTCGTGGGTGGGATATGGAGTAACAGTGGGGTCATGATGGGGGGCAGGAATGGGGAGATGCGTCACAAGAGGGGTCACGAGTGGTTGGGGGATGATATGGGGTGGACTCGGAGCCGGTGGATGCCGCAACCCCTCGGTGGGAATCTGGGGGTCCCAGATTCTGTCGAGGCTGRTCCTGGTCCCGGTGCCCTCCCACCCCTCCGCTCGCTCGTCTCCTCCCCCTTCCTGCGCTCGGCGCTTCCCGGCGGAGCGGGGCCGCCGCGGGGACCGGCCGCGCCCGCTGCCGCTATGGAGTGAACGAGGGGCCGCGGGGACCGGCTGGACCGGCCGCCCCCCGCCCGCGGCTGCTCTCTCCAGGTAACGAGAGACGGCACCGGGGACTCTGCCGCCGCTCGGTACCTCCCGCCCCGACCCGGAACTCGGGCAGGGGCACCGAGCTGGGAGCCGGGCGGGACGGGGSTCTGAGGGGTATCCCAGGGGCGGGGGCTGCCCGGGGCACGGGGAACTGTCCGGGGACACCTCCCTGCTCCGGCGGCGGGCGGGGGTCCGGGCAGTGTAACGTGTGACAGGCTGAGAGGGGAGCGGAGCGACCGTCAGCCGCTCACCGGGGTGTTTGGGGTGGGATGGGGAGGGGGCTCCGGGACCGGTGGTGCGCAAGGGGAAATGCAGCACAGCTCGACCCAAAGTGCAGAGCAGCGGCTGCTGGGTGGGTGCAGAGGATTGCACCGCGCTCTCCTGGCACCGCGCTCTCCTGGCACCCCCTTCTCCTGGCACCGCGCTCTCCTGGCACCGCGCTTTCCTGGCACCCCGCTTTCCTGGCAGCCGCTGTTTGGGGACGATGGGGCTGTGCGGGGCAAAGGAAAACCCCTTCCCCCGTCCCACCGGCCAGCGGGACCGGCGCCGAATGCAGCCCGGGCTCCCCGAGCCGTGAGTCATCCTGGGCTGGGTCGGTTGAGGAAGGTCCCAGCTCCTCTTCCTACGCGCCGGAGGAGCTTTCACTCCCCGAGCGCGGTCAGCAGTGGGGCAGCCCCACGCCAACACGTGGGGTCCGCGGTGTCCTCCCCGTGGCACTGTCACCGTGTCCCGTGTCCCGTGTCCYKGCCTCGGCCGGAGGACGCTGGCAGCAGTGGCATCCCCAGCACCCCGGGGAAACTGAGGCACGCTGAGGGGCAGCGACGTCCCTCCAGGCTCTTCCCCGCGAGGCGGGGCCAGGGAGGAGTCCCGAGCATCTGAAAGCCTCGGAGCATGTCCCTGCGAAAGTCCCGGGGGAATCTGCCCAGCGGCCGGCAGGATGAGGAGGGTGCAGAGGGACCCATCTGCTCCAGGCTGGGACATCCCAGAGGACAGCGGGGACATGGCCAGGGGTGGGGTCCGTCCCCGACCCCCCGGCACAACCGCCCAGAGGGTGGGGGTCTGCGGCTGGGTCTCAGGAAGGGCTGGTGGTTAATGAGTAACATCCGTGGGATGTGCGACACCTCGGGACAGGGAAGGGGACGGGGAGTGCGCGGCAGCTCCGGCTTGGGGACAGGGTTTCCTGTTGCAGTGAGAAAGCAGAAAGCCCTGAGTACCGAGAATGTGGGGGTCTCTGAGCCCTCCCTGTGCCCGGGCTCTTCTTGAGCCACCTCCCCACCCGGGAGACCCCCAGCCCCACCAGGAGGCGAAGCCCCTCGGSTGAAGGAGGAAGCGAAAGTGGCTGCAGCGAGAGGGTTTGGAAGGAGGGAGCTGGCGGGGGGCGGCTGCTTTCCCTCCCCGGGTGCCATAACCTGTCCCAAATCCTGCCAAATATTCAGCCACAAGGGAGTTCTGCGACCTCGGCTCCCCATGGGACCTTGCTCCCAGGAAGGAACCGGGAAAAGCACTTCTTCAGAAAGGAAGAAGAGGGAAGGATAGAAATTAGGCACAGCTGGGCTGAAGGAACTGTGGCTGATGCCAGGAGGGGACAAGCAATGTTTTCCCCTCTCAAGCTCCTCCTGGGCTGTGGGAGGAGGGAGCAGYGCAGCTTTTCCTGCAGACTTTTAGCAGATCCAGGCATGCCTGGCTTAAGGCTTACGCTCCAGGTTGGCGCTTCCAGCCKGCAGCTCGCAGGGCTGAGCAGAAATACAGGTTTAATGGTGGGGGAGGATGGGGAGTAACCCTCAAGCGTGGCAAAAGGAGAAGCAGTTTTCCCCTCCTGTCAAGATCCCACCGGGGCTGTGGGGAAAAGTCCAGCAGCAATTCCCRGAACGTCTGTTTGTGCGTTTCCCACCGATCATTGACCCTTCCGGAGTAACCTTAATCCCCTGGGCCGTTCACTGCAATGAACCTCCGGGATCTGTTTACACCGGGCAGGCGCGGAGTCGAAAGCAAAAGCATTTCTGGAAGGCCTCCAGAAATGCTGGAGGTGGCACGGGGTGAGGGCCGCTCCCGGTGACAACCGGAGCACCCCCGGGCCCGCACCGCCGCCAGCCCGGGGTGCTGCCCGGGGCTGCAGGCCGCGGGCGTTTGTTTGCTCCGGCTGCGGCGTTGCCCAGTGACGCTGGCTTCCTTCCCCTCGCAGGGTTCTCCGAGTCTCTCAGCTCCACCTCCGCCCTGCGCCTTCGGCTCTCTCGGCGCGGCCCAGGCCCGTGGGGGAGCGAGCGCGCTGCCCGCGGGGGCCGTGAGGCGATTCCCCCGCTCGCTTTTTGAGCCGAGCCCGGTCCGTCGCGCCGCCTGAGGGTCCCGCTGCTACCGCGGCCCCTCGGTTGGACCCTGAGACAACGGCGCTGAGGGATCGGCCGCGGGATCGGGCCTGGGCCCCGGGCGGGGCAGGCGGAACCGGCAGCGAGGTGTGTCTGCGTGAGGGGATCCCCTCAGCCGCCGGGCGTGAGGGAGCGGGAGCTGTGSGGAAAGAGGCGTGAGGCGGGCAGGGAGCTGCTGAGGGGACAGACGGGGTGGGAGTGTTGCGGTGAGGGCGTGTGGCCCCGGCCCAGGMGTTTTCAGGTGGAGTTTTCTATCTTAGCGCCTTATTCCGGTGATCTTCTTGCGTTCTCTGATCTCTGGAGTGGCTGGGGAAGGGGCCTTCTTTCCTTCCTGAGGAGGTTTTGGGGAGTACTCCATGGGGAGGCACCTGAGGAAGTTTTGGGGGGCAGCCAAGCCGCCTCACTGGGATCCCCGCAGCAGAACGGCCTCACCGAGCTCAGGGAAGTTCACTCTTCTCCCGCTCCTGAGGGATTCCACACTCTTCCAACTCTCCTGTGCCAAGTCCAGCAGCACCTGCCCATCCCTCTGAGTGTCCCTCTGTGACGCCYATGGCTGAAGGAGCAGGGATTCCCCAGAGATGTGGGAAACTGAGGCACAAGTGGGGCTGCCAGCCTGCCCAGGGTTGCCCAAGAGGCTCATTCTGGATCCAACTTCCCACTCCTCCCTTTCCTCCTCCCCAGTGGAGCAGCAGGTTCAGATATAGAGGGACAAGAACAGTTTTGGGGGGCACCCAAGACACCTCACTGGGACCCCCGCAGCAGAACGGCCTCACCGAGCTCAGGGGAGTTCACTCTTCTCCCACTCTTGAGGGATTCCACACTCTTCCAACTCTCCTGTGCCAAGTCCAGCAGCACCTGCCCATCCCTCTGAGTGTCCCTCTGTGACGCCCRTGGCTGAAGGAGCAGGGATTCCCCAGAGATGTGGGAAACTGAGGCACAAGTGGGGCTGCCAGCCTGCCCAGGGTTGCCCAAGAGGCTCATTCTGGATCAAACTTCCCACTCCTCCCTTTCCTCCTCCCCAGTGAAGCAGCAGGTTCAGATAAAAAGGGAGAAGAAACAGCTCTCGCCCCTCCCTGAGGAGCCCTCAATGCTCCCAGGGCTGGGTAGGGGGTTGCCCTGCCATCATCCTCTCTCCTTTTTGTCCACAGGTGCCTGTTTCAAGATGTCCCTCTGGAACCTTGTGTCCCACATGCCACCAGAGGAGTTCAGCAGCAGCCTCCCTGCAGAGTTTCCCCGGAGCCTGCGCTGTCTCCTGGCYGAGTGGCTGGAGAACCAGCCCTGGTGAGTCTCCAAGGCCCTTTCCTCCCCAAAGCAACTTGTGTCTGGGGGTCACACAGGAGAGGGTGGGGGATCCATACCCGTTCTCCCAACCTTTTTTCCCCTCTCCAGGGAGTTCATCAATGGCTCGGATGCCTTCTGCACCAGCATGGCCAGCGGGATGCTCTCRGCCATGCTGGAGAAACTCCGCAGCGCTGCTGGCAGCGACGGGCAGCAGTGCCAAATCCTGCAGCAAGTCAACAGCATTGAGGTGTGCGGGAACCCYGGGGCCAGGCCATGCTGGGATTGCAGCCAGCTCCCAGAAAAACTTGATTATTTTATGCTGGAAGGGCTCGATGGTCCCTGTGTGACACCCAGGCTTGTGAGAAATGAGCAGACCCAGCGACTGGGTTTTTGGGGTGTTCCAGAGGACAGAGGGGATTTGTTTGCATCCCGGGGCTGGCCCGGATTCTGCAGCCCAGCTCTCTAGGGAGCTGCCACATCCCCCMAAAACAGCCCCGTGGGGACCCTCCTGAGTCCCACGGCCCTGCTCACCCCCAGTTTTTGGCACCCAGGGGCTGTCTCACCAGGTGTTCCCCATTTTCTGCTGGATTTTTTGATTTCTCCTTCCTCTGGGCTATGTGGGGGCTGCATTTCCTCCTGCCGTGAGCTCTGAGTTTCATTTTAGGGGTTCTTTGTCTTATCAGGGCTGTTGGAATTGCTCTGTCCCTTTCCCAAACCTCTGATTTATCCTCTTCGTCCATCAGAGCTCCGAGTGCCAGGGCTGAGCRGGGCTCACTCCCAGAGCCCTGTACTGGTTGAAAACTCAGCTTTTTTGGTAACAGACCTTTTTAATATCCAACATTTGGGAAGGGATCAACTTTAGTCACAATTTCTGGGGAAYAGGATGACTTTCCAGAACAAGAGTGTTGCTTTTTTGCTGTAGGAAACAAGCAGATGTTTCAGCTTAGGGATTTTTTCATTCTTTGAAACATTGAAGCAGAGCAGCCCTCTTGTGTCCCCTCCTCCTTTCATCTCTCATGCCGGAACACCAAATTCTCATTTCTCCACGCCCAACTGGGCTGTTCCCTGCTCTGTGGGCAATGGGAGCCAGGTGCCCTCCAGGATGGATGACCTGGGGGTGTAGGTGGGAGCCAAACTTGAGCCTCTCACCCACTGAATCCCACATTTTCCCTGGAAAAGCCCACAGGGCTTCCAGTGCTGCATCCAGTCCACCACAGTGGAGCTCCCACCGGCACAGGAACCCACCAGGCACGTCATCAACCATTCCCCCACCGTGTTCTGCTGCTGTTTTGGGAAGTAGCTAATTTGGGAAATGCGTGAAGGCCGAAGGAGCTGGCACGGGACGCAGGAGCTGGAGCCAGCAGGGGAATTCCTCTCCCTGTTTTCAGTGGAAAGCATTGATCCGCCCAGGGCAGCTGGGAGAGTCTCCCCCAGGTGTCAGGCTGGAGGCTGCAGGAAATGCTCACAGGAATGAAGAATTCCCTTTAGTTGGGGATTTTTTATTTTTTTAGTTTGAAGTTGATTCTTTTACTTTTTACACAAAAAAAATGGAATTGGAGTCCATGATCCTGATGGGCTCTGCAACTCCAGATACTCCATGATTCTAGGCACTGTTTAAAGAGGTTTTAAGCCTGGAAAACAGCTCTGTGGTGGTCATGGAACCCCTGAATCGCCTTGGCCGGGTTTTGGGGGAAAGGATTGGGATGGGAGTGGGCCAGGAAAGGAGAGTACATGTCCTGCCCGCCCCGGACACTCCCCAATTTGTGTCCCCYCAGAACACCTTCCGCCGGGACCCGCTGCGGCTGGTGACCGTCGTGAGAGCCATCCTGGATGGCGAGAAGGCAGCCGTGCTCAAGCGGGTGGGTGGTCCCTGCCCCCCTTCTGGGCACCCCGAGGGGCTGGACTGGCCACAGCCCCTGSTGACCCCKCTCTGCTCTGCCCCAGGACCACCAYCTGCCCCTCAGCTTCCACCGGCGGCAGGAGGAGCTCAAGTTCAGTCTCGGGCTGCAGCGGCTGCAGCACCGAGTSCGTGAGATCCAGGCGCTCCGGGACGAGTGGGCAGGGCGGGATGGGGCTGCACAGAGCCCCACAGCCCCCAAGGATCTGCCCACCCTCATTCTGGAGGCTGTGAAGGAGCTGGAGGCGGCCAAACAGCAGGTGCTGAAGAGGATCCAGATCTGGAAGAGGCAGCAGCAGCTGGCAGGGAATGGTACCATGTTTGAGGAGAACCTGGCGCCGCTGCAGAAGAGGTGAGGAGGCACAGGGTGGGGGACCCCGAGCGAGCCCCTGATCCTCCCACCAGCCCAAGGGGCTCTGGGTGAGTGATTGGGGCGTGCTGAGTGTCCCCTTTTTGCCAGGTGTGAGAACCTGGTCGAGGTTTACTTCCAGCTGCAGCAGCAGGTGATGGCAGCAAGCRCAGAGCTGGGGCCCGAGCTGCTGCCCCGGCTCCTGGAGCGCTTCAATGAGGTGTTGTCCAGCCTGGTCAAGAGGTAACGGACTGGGGRACCGTTGTGGTGGGTCTGCAGGGGCTAGTGGCAGAGCTGGCAGGGCATCGTGCCAAGTGCCAAGGTGTCCCTTTGTCCCTCAGCTCCTTCCTGGTGGAGAAGCAGCCCCCGCAGGTGCTGAAAACCCAGACCAAGTTCCAGGCGAGTGTCCGGTTCCTGCTGGGCCCGCAGCTGCTGAAAGCAGCCCCGAAGCCCTACGTGGTGAGGGCTGACATGGTGACAGAGAAACAGGCACGGGAGCTGGAGCTCAGCACCTACAGCAACACCCTCAGGTGAGCTCTGGGTGTGAGGCTGGGGGTCTTCCCCACCGCTGTGCCCACCCTGACCCCCTCCTCTACCCAGTGAGAGCACGGGGGAGATYGTGCACAACACGGTGGCCCTGGAGACCAACCCCACCAGCGGGACCTGCTGTGCCAACTTCAAGAATGTGGTGAGTGCTATGGCAAGAGTCTGAGGGCTCTGCTGGGGACTTTTTGGGGGTCCTGAGGCTGGGGATGCTCAGCTCTCCCTCCCCAGCTGCTAAAGAAGATCAAGCGCTGCGAGCGGAAGGGCTCGGAGTCGGTGACGGAGGAGAAATGCGCTGTCCTGTTCAGCACCAGCGTGGCCTTGACCTCCAGCAACGYCACCGTCCACCTCCAGGTACCAGCTCCTCTCCCATGGGATGGTGCTGGATGTGCTGAGTCTTCCCCTGTGGGACACCCATGCTGGGCTGGGACGGTCCCAGGGCAGCCACCACGCTTGGCTCGGGGGGCTGAGAGGGGACCCTGTCTGCCCCCAGGTCCTGTCTCTGCCCATCGTGGTCATTGTCCACGGCAACCAGGACAACAATGCCAAAGCCACCGTGCTGTGGGATAACGCCTTCTCTGAGATTGTGAGTGCCACGAGCTGGAGGGAAAGAGCTGGAACCTGGGGCTGGGTGACCTCTGGCGTGGGGGGGAAAATGCTGGCTGGAGCAGGAGCTGGACATGATGGGGTCCTGTCCTGATGACCCCCTGCCCRCCCACAGGACCGAGTGCCCTTTGTGGTGGCCGAGAGGGTGCCCTGGGAGAAGATGTGTGACACTCTCAACCTGAAGTTCATGGCAGAGGTGCAAACCAGCAAGGGGCTYCTCAAGGATCATTACTTCTTCCTGGCCCAGAAGATCTTCAACGACCACAGCGCCAGCTTTGAGGACTTCCAGAACCGTCACGTCTCCTGGGCCCAGTTCAACAAGGTGACTGGGAGGGCTGGCCAGGGTGGGCAGGGGCCAGCAAGGCCATGGGGAACCTCATGGCCTCTCTGCCTCAGGAGATCCTCCCTGGGCGGGGATTTACCTTCTGGCAGTGGTTTGATGGAGTGCTGGACCTCACCAAGAGATGCCTCAAAAGCTACTGGTCAGACAGGTGGGTGCCCCAGGGCTGGGTTTGGGGTGTCYTGGTCCCACCCTGCCAYTCTGGGTGGYYCTGATCCCTCTTCCCCWTGTGYCCACCCCTCCAGACTCATCGTGGGCTTCATCAGCAAGCAGTATGTGTGCAAACTGCTGAGCACAGAGCCGGATGGGACCTTCCTGCTCCGCTTCAGCGACTCCGAAATCGGGGGTGTCACCATTGCTTACGTCATCCGGGGAAAGGATGGTGAGACCGGGGTCAGGTGCTGTGCCCACAATGCCAGGGGGTGTGGGGTGTTACAGGAACCAGCTCTGGACACCCGTGACATGTCTGCCCTCGCTCAGGTTCCAGCCAGGTGGAAAACATCCAGCCCTTCTCTGCCAAGGATCTGTCCATCCGCTCCCTCGGTGACCGGATCCGGGACCTGGGGCAGCTGCGCAATCTGTACCCCAACATCCCCAAGGACCAGGCATTCGGGAGTCACTACAACAGTGAGCAGGGGGGATGGGATGGGCCCTGGGCTGCCCCTCTGCGCCCCAGCAATGCTGTAGGGGGGGGTTTGGGGCTCACCCAGGTGGCCCCAGGGCTTGTGGGGATGGCTRGGGCTGGCAGAGAGGGTTGGCAGATCATTGTGGTGGCTCATGGATGCTTCTCCTCCCTGTGCAGAAGAACAGACAGGCAAGGACGGCCGGGGCTACGTGTCCACTGCCATCAAGATGACGGTGGAAAGTGAAAGGTGGGTGTGAGGCTGGAGGTGTGGGCACGTGAGCCAGGGTTTGCACAGACTCCTGGCCGGCCAGAGCATCCCCCTGACAGCGAAATCCTTGGCTGGGAAAAACAGAACTGTGCTGGTGAGCGAAGAGCCTTGGGCCCCTCTCCCCGATCTGCTCTGGGACACCTCTGTGCACCTGCCACCCTCCCCTCCGAGCACCCACTGCCACAAAAGTCCCTATGTAGTCCAGACCTGGCAGTGCTGATGGGGACCATGTGCCTTTTCAGGGACCAGCAGCCTCCAAGCACCATGGGGGCCCTCCCCGAGGCCCCCCAGATGCCGATGTTCAACCTGCCCGAGCTGCGCCCTGAGAGTCTGCAACGAGTGCTGGACCCCATGTGGTGAGTGCCCTGCTGTGGGGCGGGGGCTGGGGGCTGTGACAGAGCCCCCCCCTCAATCTGAACCTCTGTGTGTGTGTGCACTGCAGTCCCCCCCCTCCATTCTGCCCCCAGCCCGTYCCCACGGGCTACCCCACGGTCGAGAGCAACATCACCATGATGGTCCCCGACAGGCTCACGTCCCCCTTCCACAGGTAGGAGCAGGGCAGGGTGGGGGGCATGGTGGACACCCCTCCACACCCCAGCGGGGTCGGGGGGTGTTTCCCCCTCTCTGAGTGCTCCCCCTCCCCACAGCCAATCACCGATGCTCTCGCCGCCTCTGGGCATGGACCCCTCGCTGTCGCACTGCCAGGACCCCGCCTTCAGGACCCCCGGGTAAGATCTGGCACACAGCTGGAGGGGGGCACCCTGCCCTGCACTCCTTTCTCCCCGCTTTTACCCCAAGCAGGCAGATGTGGAGCAGCCGTCCCCAGCTGAACAGTGCTCCCAGTGCTCTGCCCTACTGGTGCTCCCTGGAGGGRCCCCACACAAGCCCCCAAACCAAGCAGTGCCCCCCCAATACTTTGGGGCTGGCGAGTGCCCCGGGGGCAGGGAGATACCCACAATCTCCACCATTCTTTGTCCTTCCCAGCCCTTTCATGCCCAACCAGTTCATGCCTGGGGAGGTGCCGCAGCTGCTGCCCGGGGGTCCCTCTGCAGAGCCACAGGACGAGGAGATGCCCGAGCTGCCCCCGTTCCCGGCCGCGGGGGATGCGCCGCTGCAGAGCTCCCCGCGATGGTAAGCACGGGGAGGGGTCAGCAGGGGGAAACCGCCCCCCGCCTGGTTCCCCTCGGTTTCCCCCGGTCACAYTGCTGCCTCTGTCCCCAGGATGGAGCAGTCGTTGGGCTCGGAGTTGGACCAATTCGTCCTGCAGGATGTGTCCCTGTTGTCCTCYTTTGCGCCCCTCCCGCAGCGCTCCGGGTACCCCGGTGCCAGCCCGTCCTGCTGGGGGCTGGGGGAGGCGCGGTGGGATGACAACGTCCGGCCGGGACACGCGTGACAAGGCCACCAAGGGGAGGGGGACATCGGACAGGGACCCCCCCCTCACTCCCTCCCAGCCTTGCCTCGGTTCATGGACTTTACACAACTCGTGCTGAAGTGGAAACTCCAGCTCGGAAAGGAGGGGTYGGGGGGATTTGGGGTAACCCCCGCCCCCCTCCTCCGCGCATTGCTGCCCGCCCCCGCCGCTGCCGGGGGTCCGCGGGTGAGGGGGTGCAGGCGCAGGGGCCCCGTCCTGCGTGGGGGGCACCGGCAGCCGCACGCGGTGCCCCCAGCCCACGCCGCCGGGATGAGTCACCGCGGGGGCGGGAGGCGGCAGCGCGAACGGCGCCGGGGCGGAGGTGCCAGCCCGGTGCCCGGCRGGGAGAACACCGGGACCCCCATGGAGGGGGACACGGCACCCTCGCACCCCCGCAGTCAGCGCTTGCTTTGGGGTTTGGAGCTCCTCACCCACCCACCCCTCCCTCCAGGCTGGAGCAGGGGGCAGGAAGATAAGCCATAAAATAAAGTTTTATTCCAAAATAACAAAATAAATAATCTACTGTACACGGTACAAAGGAAGAGTCGCTAATGCTCTAAAAAGACACCACACAGTCCTAACGGGGGGGGGTGGGAACCCCGGGGCTGGGCACGGCTTA